ATAAAATTTATTTGGACAAGGCTAGAGAACACTTGTATATTTCAAACCCATTTCAAAACTTGAATCCCATTTAGACTATTGAAACTCATATAAAAAAGAAAATTGGATTCACACCCATAAGTAAGGTGTCTGTTAGATTAAAAATAAATATTATTTCATTCAATTGAATTGATTGTGATTAAAATATTATTCTAATTTTATTAATCACACTTCTAATAAAAGTGAGATATTTTTAATTCCTCTTGTGTGATCTTTAAGCATTATTGTAGTAGTGTCTAGCTCTACAACAATCACGACTATCCTCCACCGATAGCCCAAAGCAGTTATTTCTATACAGAAAATAAATGCAACAAATGGATATAAAATCGACATTTCCAACTAGGTGAGTGACATAAAATCCAACTACACCCTTTAATCCTATGTATTCCCAATCTTAACATTTCCAATTCAATTCCTCATTTCTCACAATTAATTTTACAAATTAATTAACCAATGTAATTAGGGCATTTTCCATAATTAACATTACAACCCTTAGGTTCCATTTTCATTAATGTTTTATCATTAATTTCACTTTTTCCGTGCCAAACATGCATCTAGGCTTTATTTAGCTAAAACCTCAACCTTTGTAAATTTACACAAAAGCCCCATATTTTCACCAAATTACCAAACCAACCCCAACATCTCAAAATACTAAAATTTAAAGACAAAGCTCATAGAAAGGAGTAGGATATCCCTACCTCAAAGTTTGAGCTCCAATGGAGATGAAGACCAAAACCAAAATGCTTCGAATTCTAAAATTTTCAGATTAAAAAGTAGCCCTCGACGATCAACACAACTTTCGTAAAGACCAAAAGTGAGCAAACAACTCATACTAGATCAAATCTAAGAGAGAAGGGCCGGTTTTAGAGTGAGAACCTCTAAAAATGGCTTTTTGGAAAAGTAGGAGAGAGAGAAGATCTTGAAAAAGTGATCCAAAAGTCGGATCTCGGATTTATATAAAAGTCGCCCTGCTCGAGCGTCAAACTCCCCGCTCGAGCGTCACTCACAGACTCCCGCTCGAGCGTCAACAATCCCCGCTCGAGCGGCGGATACAAACTTCCAGAACTTTTACAGAACCAGGTATCCGCTCGAGCGTCAACCCTCCCGCTCGAGCGTCACACACAATAACTCGCTCGAGCGTCAAAACTCCCGCTCGAGCATACAACTCTGCCGAGGAGATACTGGAAGATGGAAAACTGCGCTCGAGCGTCGAAAACCCCGTTCGAGCGTGAAGGCCAAAATCTGGGCAACTACTCTTGGTTTCCAAGTTCAACCAACCTGTAACAAACTCGCCAACACAACCCAAGACTCGAATGCAAGGAGTAAAGGATGTAAACAAGATATACACGACAACCAACTCCACGGAACCTAAGTCCGGATACAACAATTAAACAGAAGGGAAACCGGGATCGCTATACTTCTTCGAAGTGTCGCCCTCATGGCCGACGTCTTTCTCTCCGTGGCCCTGGTTATAAGTTTCTGCATTGTGGTTGTCTCCTTCAATGTCAAGGTCAATTGGTCTGCCACTCCCAGCAGAAGTGTCGCCCCCAATGTTTTCCTTTTGTCCGTTACTGGCCATCTATTCTTCTAAGTTTCCCACAGACGGCGCCAAATTGTGTGAGTGATTTTCTGACCACACTGCCCGCCTAGTAATCAGCTGGAAAAGCACTGGCAGAATAGATGGCCTCTAGCTAACCTGCAACAGAAAGAGAAGTCTCCGGCGGTGGTTCAACCACCCGGGGGCACTCCGACGATCAAGTCAGTATATCTCTCAAAGATAATCAAGTGCTAAACTCACAAGCTTAAGCATAAAAAGCATACCTTTGACCCATGGGGATGCCTCTCTTTTATAGCCAACATAGACCTAGTCCCACTAGAAGCCTGACTTCTATGGACTCCCATTCAGTGCTTACTTTGGATTTCACAAGAGATAAAGATAAACTCCCTAAGAGCTTTATCCTTATCTTAGCAAAGTTCCTTCTTTACTTTAGGACTCTTGCCCCTTATCCATTTATCTCAGATTCCGATATCTTCGGAGATAACCTCGACCTTGCCGAGATAACCTCGGCGTCACAACCAGGACACGTGGCAGCTCGGTTGACACGTCGGCGTCACCTTGCCACGTGTTGGTATTCAGAAAATATATCCCCACATGAATCTTGAATTATAATGTATTCATAATGAAATCTTTCTCTCACATATAGTAATTTTGGGAAGTATATTATAATGTATTCATTATAATATGAAATCTAATAATATAAAAGAGAAACCAGAGAATATTATTAATCTTTCTCAGTTTATAATATGAAATCTTTTATACTTTTTAAATATGAAATCTTTCTCCCACATATAGTAATTTTGGGAAATAAAATTGATTATACAAATAAGAAAATGAGGATTTGATTTGTAGTCAAGTGGAATTCATGATTTTTGGTAAATTTGATTAACACAAATGAGGATTTGATTTCGGGTTAAAAATACACGTTTATTTTTTAAAAAACTTTAAAAGAAATTATTTTTATGAGCCTATTTTACATAGGATCATATGCAGTAACAAAAATTCCCATCAGCTATTAGCAAATCTATTTGTATTTGACTTTCAATTGTTAAAATTGTCTACACATAAAGTATTAAGGGTCAAAATTAATTTTTTATTTTAAAAATAAATTTTCTTACATTACACGGGTCACCTACTAATTTATCATAAAATAAAAGAAGTTGTTTCTTCTTCTTTTTTTAATTTAATTTAATTTAATTTAGGGGAACAACATACAGGTGGTAAAAGAGAAAAAAATTATCCATATATGGGATGCAAGTGTGTTTTTAGTGAAATGTAAAAGAAAGACTGGAAAAATACAAATGTTACTTATACCTCATGTGATTATTTTTTTATTTCCCCTTTTCCACCAGCCCTTTTAAATTGTAGTACATGATGGTTGTACTTTAATTACTGTTACCATGCGTGCTTGAGTAATATATGAATATTGATCACATATTCACTCCAAAGATTACACCGTTCCACTCTCACCGTACTTCATCAGAGCTTACACCGTTCCACTCTTCACCGTTGTTCACTCCGGCTCGACATCACTTCGGCTGCTGGGTTAGTTTATCACTCCAGAGATGAATTTCAGAATAAAAATTAAAGAGTACTCATGCTAATAACTCATATTAAAAATTAAAGAGTACTCATGAATTTCAAGTTGACTGATTTCCTGTTTTTTACACCGTGCCTTGAGTAAAAATTAAAGAGTACTCATGTTAATAACTCATGCTAAGAGAAAGACAAAAAAAGAGTTGTTGAATGAATTTGACTTCCTATAGTCATCAAATTCTGAAATCACAAAATCAAATTTGACTTCCT